CACTTGTCAGCATCCCTGTAATTCAGGAGCCAGCTTGACTGAGGCTCTAGCTGCTTAACCAGCCTTTTCCTTAGCAAAGAGAAGAGTGTGTCTTCCCTTCTTCCAGTGGTTGGAAGATGGCTCAGGGAACACCTAGATCACCCTGGTGTATATATTTTCTCATAGTTTGGGATCTGCAACTGTTTGCATTTGTAAAAATTATACAATATTGTAACAATGTTTCTTTCCATCTGTATTATGTGCGGTCAGGAGATTGTAATAGCTATGCTTTCAGTTTGGAATGAGTGAGCAGGCAGAAGTTTAAAACGAACAAACAAACAAACAGTGAGTAGCAGACAAAGAGAAGCGGCAGATAGCAAAGCATCATCACATCTAGTGCTGGTGCCCACATCCAGTGCTGGTGCCCACATCCAGTGCTGGTGCCCACATCCAGTGCTGGTGCCCACATCCAGTGCTGGTGCCCACATCCAGTGCTGGTGCTCACATCCAGTGCTGTTGCCCACACCCCAGGCTGACAAGGTCCAGTACAAAACAACGATGGAAGTTAAGGAAATTAACGACACCAGTTAAGGAAACCAGTTGGAGTCCCCAAGTGAGAGTCCTGGGCAGAGCACAGTGTCCCCTCAGGTAAGGCTTCCAAGTAAAAGGACAAATAGCAGCAGACAGATAACATTATCAGACTGGGCACTCAAAATTATCCAGCAGAAACTGTGTAAGTTGAGGCAGTCAACCAGCATTCTTGGTTGAGGATCCTGGTAAGGGTCCTCTGCACGGAGGAGGAGTTTCTGCTTTCTCGTTCCCACTGTAGGGTTTCCTGCTATGGGATAAGCGCTACTAATCTTTGTTGTACTAGTCTACCTTCTAGCGTGCTCAAGGACACGATGTCTTCAACCCCTTAGTTCCTTACTGTTTTCCCTCTCTCTGTTCCAGAGCCAAAGACCAGCTTGACCCGGGACAGGGGGTTTTAGAGGACACTCAACATAAACATTCTTAGGTCTGGAGTGGAGGGCAACCCTGCTTTCCAAGCCAGCTTTTCAGGGAAGCTCAAACAACACATCACAACTCACCAATATAAACCACAATAAAAAAAACCCCACTATTATATAAACCATTTAATTTTTATTACATTTATCGTAAATATGCACTTGTGCAAGCCATGGCACATGTGTAGCAGTCAGTGGAAAATTTGCAAGAGTGGGGTCTCTTCTTCACCTTGTGGTCTCTGGGATTGAACTCGGGTCCTCAGGCTTGATGGCATGCATCTTTACTTAGTGAGCTATCTTGTGGAATCCAACCATTCCTTTTTTTTTTCTTCTATGAATCTTTAGTTGAATATTGACTGACAGCCACACTGACTAGAACAGAGTCCCAGAACTGAAATCACTTGTTGAAAAAATATACAAAATGTAAGGTTTCATCTGTGCCTGTAGTTGAGAAATTGTCTAAAAGTTTCCATTAGGTGACACTCAGTGACGGTGTAATGGTGTTGATTTCTTCGTGTTTGCTTTTATCAACAGATACAGTGTTGCCTTTCTCCTGTTATTAAGGAATAGAACATTCTGTCATGTTCATTGGGCGTTCCTTCTTTTGTTTTCTTGTCTTTGCCTCTGCTTGTTTGCCTTGGAATCCTGTCCTCGTCTCAGCTTTGAAAGCCTCCTTCCCGTGAAGACCAGCCTCTACGAAGATGATGCAAGCCTTTCCCTGTTTTAAACTTCCTTTGTGTCCAGATGCTTCAAAAGTGAGGCAGCTACTTCCTGCAATATTGTTTTCAGGTAAAGCCTGTCTGAGAAAGGCGTAGCTCTTAAATCCAGTGAGTTTTGAAAGTGGACTACCCTCTAGCAAGCTGAATTCTACATTCCACGTGTATGTAAAGATCCACCTCGCTCTTCTCACACAATCCTTTGCCACTGTCCAGCAGAAGAAGTACTCATCTAGTTTCTGGTCCCATGGTTGTGGGCTGGCTCCTGGGTGCTCTGTTGTTGTCTGGTTTCATCACCAAGCTACTCACATTCATTTGCCTGTGGATTACTTTTATACTGCTGAGTAATATTCTTGGGTATTTCACAACCGGGGTTTGTCCATTTCTCTACTTATTATGTTAACAATTTTAATTAAGTTGGTGATCAGTACTTTCTTTCATGATTGTTGATGGTCTGTCTGACAGATATGCCCACTAACAGGTTCTTTTTAAAGTACTTTTTTAAATGCTTAGGTCTCCCTCTTCTTGATGTGGTAGAAATCCATTCCTTTCTTCAAATTATTAGCAGTTTGCATTCCATCCTCTTTTCTCATTGATTTGAAAAGCTGCCTTCATTACTTCCCACAGGAGTAATATTACAAATAACTAACAATTGGCCAGCCGTAGGCCTTGGCTTAGAAAGCTGCTCATTAGTGACAGCTTAGACAGACAGGTCCTATCAATTTCCACCCTGAAGCCGGTTAATCATCTGGGAGCAATTTTACCTTCATCTTGACTGTGAAGTGTCCCGAGTGTTCATCTTTCCGATCATGCTGATTCTCAGCTGCTTTGGAAGTTACACCTAGGTATTTACTGTGTTCTCTGGTTGGTATGATTGGAAATTTTCTGCCATGTGTTCTAAAGTATCTGATGTGCTTGGCTCAATGCCTACTCAGTGCACATTCATTATTGCAGTTAGTATGTCTAAGTTTTTTCCTACCTTGGTGCTGGTGACCAAACACAGGGTCTTAAGAATGTCACTTGCCATGCAGCTTAGGCTGGCTCTACTTCTAAACTCTGAGATGCTGGGATTTTGGTATGAGCAATTAATTACAGATTATCTGGCTCACCCTGCACTTCCGATATTGGGGAGGAAACCCAGAGCCTTGTTTGTGCCAGTCAGGTGTGCTCTATCTCCAGTCTGAATGTTTTTTTTTTTAATTTAACTTTTAATTGCTGGGCTTCTACTAATTCTTGGGTGTTTTCGTATTAGGGGTCTGTCTTTATTTTTGATCATGGACAGGCTCAGTTTGAGACCAGGACTCTGTAAAGCCCTACAGAACCCTGGTTTGTGCTGGTATAGCCCCCTCCCTACACTCAGTTTGCTGCTACAGCCCTTTTATATACGGAGCACAACTCTTTTTTCGAGACAGGGTTTCTCTGTGTAACAGTCTTGGCTGTCCTGGAACTCAGTTTGTAGACCATGCTGGCCTTGAACCCACTGAGATCCGCCTGCCTCTGCCTCCCCAGTGCTGGGATCAAAGGCATGTGCCACTGCCTGGCCAAGCACAACTCTTAATCAGTACACAGCAATCAATACTCCCCACTGCCCACCCAACTCTACCTTTTGAAAGTAATTGCATCTAAGATTATACTCCAAAACTTCCTCATGTAACTTTGGTTCAGGATTGTCTTCCATTCAGTACTCGTAAAATGTCTGATTACTTACTCTACATCTTAATCCTTTCAAGTACTTCTGAACTTCATGCTTCATCTAAATGTTAGCTGGCACGGATCATGCATTATTTTGTACGTAAATTCGGTCGTGTTCTTTTCTATAAGCGGCTGAGCCAGCACTCCTAAGTGCCGTCATTTTCTTCCGCCCTTTCACATTCCACAATTCATCCCTTGGCTGCACAGCTGAGCTATCCTAGTGTACGAAGCTATCTAATGACTATTACCCTGAGATAATGAAAAGAATTTGAGAATTGTTTTAATCCACATACCTAAAGCTTTCTCCAAGTCATGGCCCAAAAATGCTATTAATCTCTGCTCAATCCTACATGGCAAGGCCTAGTAAACAGGCCAGCATCCTAGGTCACTAGTCAGATGCCATGCAGGGTGGACAAGGTGCTCTCTCCTTCATGCTGGACATGGGACTCTGGCAATACCATGCACACAGAATGAGAAGTTATATTCCTCTCCTGATGAAAGGAACTGGACCCAGGGGCGACAGAAACGTGGCCTTTCATGCCCCTCACACACCAGAACGCCAATCATAGGCGCTTGGCCCAGGCCTACTAGATGCCCAGCCAAGTCCCGGCCACAGCCTTGCTGCTGTGAACCGCATCTTAGCAAACCGGAGCGCGGTGGCGGCCACCCAGGGCCTACACCTCCGCAACAGCAGCGGACACTACGCCCCGAGTTCCCACGGCCGCGCTCAAGGCCCTATAACTGGAGCCGCACCCCCAAACGGCGCGCCCGCCGCGGGGCAGGGCGGGGCCCGCTACGCCTGCGCACTCCCTCTGGGTTCGGCGTCCCGGCACGCAGCCCACGTGACCTGTGCCTTGCCCAAGATGGAGGTAGCAACCAGGCCTGGCCGGGCCCCCGCTTCAGTCCGCGCCCCTCTGCGACCCCTTTGACCATGAGACAGGAGCTCATGCACACCATATTGACCCAGGCAATGCCACGGGCTGCCGAGCAGGTCTGGCCAAAGCTTCCAGTCAGTGCCCGCCCCAGCTCCCTGCTCTTTCTCCACAGCGAAGCTCCCATCGCTGGCGCCTGGAGAATCCTCTGTACGCCCCGCTCACCGGGATTGACAATTTCGGGAGCCAATGGGGTTTGGAACTTTTGCAAGGGGGCGGGCAGAGGCGGAGCCTCTTTGTAGTGCCTGCGGAGTGGGGCCGGCTGTTGGGCTACTGTGGGGCGGGCTTAGGACCCACGGACCAATGGAAGGGCAGTTGAGCTCTCGGAGGCGGGGTCGAGCCGTAATTGACGCTTTCTTCATTAGAAACCAGGCAGGGGGCGGGGCCCCCGGGGGGGAGGTGACGCAAGGCCGTTGAAGCCAATGGTTGACGGGCCGCCGGCGGGAGGGGCGGGGCCGGAGCGCCTGACGGGCGTAGGGCGCGGCCTATCCCCGCGCGGCTCTGCGCTCGAGGGGGAGCAGCATCATGGTTCAACGTGGGTCAATTTTTTGTGAATGAGGAGGGGAGGTTGTGGGGCCGCCGCCGCGGAGCACCATCCCCGCCGCCGCCGCCCGAGCCCGAGCCCGCGCGCCTGCTCGCGCCGCCGCCGCCGTCGCCGCGCCGCCTCACGCCCGGCCCCCTCAACGCGGCTGCTGTCGCCGTCGCCGCCCGAGCCCGCCCGCCCGCCGGCGGCGGCGCAGGCTGAGGAGATGCGGCTCGGAGCGCCCGAGCAGGGCTAGACGCGGCCCGCCGCCGCCGCGGTAAGCCACCGGCCGTCATTGTCCGCGCCGCCCGGTCGCTGGCGGCAGGTGGACGCCCGGCCCCGCCGAGGCCTCGGGGCCCTGCGCCGCGGGCTGGCGGGCGGGCGGGAGAGCGGCCTGCGCCGGCGGGCGGGCAGGTGGGCGCGCGGGGGCGGGGGCCGGGGCGTTTATGTAACTTTGTCAGCCTGTGAGTTTGCAGAAAACGCCCCTCGGCGGCGGCAGTCGGCGGGGCGGGGGCCGCGGCTGGGCCCGGACCGCCGCTGGGCTGGCGAGGAGCTGCGCGAGCCCGGGAGGCGACCCGGTGTCCACCCTGAGCGAGGGTTCCGAAGGCACGGCTGTAGCCCACACCGCGGGAGTCGGTCGGAAAGGCCGGGTGTGGAACCCGTGTTCTCCTTTAATGCACACCGAAAATTGTTAATAACTTGCAGCCGCTGATAGCAGTGTTTTGGTTATTGCATGCTGTAAATTGACCTGCTGTGACACGATTTTCAAATAAAGCGTCGCAGAAATTAAACTTAAGTTATTTTAGAACTAATGACTTTCTTAACTAAATCCTAATTGCATTACTGTAGAGACCTACCTAATTGCTTTCTGAGAGCGGCTCTGCCTGCTCGGGGAGGGAGGAAAGGCCTGTGTAGTCACTTTGCCTCCCTGCTTTTCTCTGCTCAGGCTTTTCTGCCTGTTCCCACAAACCACCTAAGCATTTAAGGCCTGGGAGTATTAACGTGTAAACAGCTCTGGCTCTGCCTCACTTTGGGGATAGGGGGATGCTGGCGGCTTGCACCTTGACCTGGTTTCGCTTTTTCCTCCGTGATATGATCGTGGTTGCTGGGAGTTTTAATTGCTTCTGATAATTCCGTGCATTATTTCAGGACCGGCCTGATGAAAGCTAGTGTGGTGTTTCAGAATTTAGCCAGAAAGGGGGTGGGGGTGGGGGTGGGAGGGGAGGTAGTGCTTGGGGAGAGGCAGGGAGGTTGAATTAAGAAAACTCAGCTGCTTGTACACAAATATACACTATAGCAGTTACAAGGCAGCAAAAGTTATTGCAGAATTTTGCAGTCTCTATGGCAACACAATTACTCCATTATAATTGGAAATGCAAAATGCCACCCAGTTAGAAGTTTCATCAGAATGGAGTTTTGAATATCAAAAATATGTGAGATTTAGTTAAAAATTCTTTTTTTTCCCAGGTAGCTTCGGCAGCTCTAGTCTAGGTTCAGTTGTCTATTTTTAAGACCCATCCGCTTTTCCCAGATCTGCCACTCCTCAGGATCTGTGGCATCTTTCCCCAGAAGAACTCCCCGTTTGTGTAGGAGGGAAGTATTTTCATGCCTTTAAAAAACACACACCCGACACACTGTAAGACTTCTATGGTTTTCTGTGTTCTGGCTTTTCTTTTAAAGATCAAATGCCTTCCTAAAGAGCAGTCATCACCCAGAAGAGGCTGGGTTTGCTAGAAGGCAGAGGTAACACTGCCCCCTTTAGGGGTCTGCTGCCTGCTTGTAGGGGAGACGGGAGCCCTGCGGGGGAGGAAGATGACTGTGGACTGCAAACAAGCCTGGAAGGCCTAGGGACCAAGGACAGATGCGACCAAAGCAGCCCTAGCCGGAATGTTCTGTGGTTAGCAACATCAGAGAGCTGTGCAACATAAAATGCCCCCAAATGGCATCTTCTCAGAAGCCTAGGGGCTGCTGCTGCATGAAGTGGGCAAGACAGCATGGCCCTCTGTCTTCGTGGAGCTCCTGGCACTCAGCTTGACTTGGGTTTCAAACCTGTGTTAGGAGGATGCCCCTCTTGATGTTTACCAGAGGAGCTGTAGTACTGGAAGTTTCCATCCGTCGTGGGGCTGCTGCAGCTTAATTTCGTTAGAAGTCTTTCCTTTTAACTACTGCATATTTTTGCCCAGTAATCGACTTCCATTTTCCAGCCTCATTGTGAGGTTTCAATGCAGCATGAATGGCTTTGAATTCCAATCCTTTGATGTTGGGGGTGGCACCAAAGGAAAGGCGACTTTGTGCCGTCCTAATTGCCAGAGCAGAGAGAAATTTCATCACTCCTGTCGAGCTCGTCCATGCCATTTTCTATTGAAAACGGCTGGTTTTTCAGAACTCCGAAGCTGCCATAAGTAATACATTAATACCTGATGTAGGGAGCCAGGGAGATGCAGAAATGAGAGACACCTGCTACTGTTGGCAGGTTGGGCTGGAATTGGGGCTCAGTCCCACGACCAGAGTTTTGGATGGCTCTGAGGCTCTGGGGTGTCTGTGCAGACTTCAGAGGGTGAAGCCAGAGTTGAGCCCATGTCCCATTGGTTGTAACCCATTCTACTCTGGGGTAGGGGCCCCAAAGGGATTTTTGGAGTGACTTTGTTCTGGTCTCCAGTGACCAGCATGCGTCCTGCTATTCAGCCAACTCTGGGCATTAAGTGTGACCCTGACCTTTGAGGTTCAAGGCAGATGACCGAGGGGCAGAGTCAGAAGTGCTGCTGTTGTATTTGAACAGACCCTAGTCCATTCCTACAGAACTCACTGAGCTGAGATGGCCTGTGTTCCTGTCAGGAGGTCGGTTGTTTGCTCTTAGGCTCATGTGAGTGAGCAGGATGGGCTTTGTTTAGGGTGGAATGTGGGCTGGCATCTGCAGCTGCTCATGGCTTTGCTGCTGCCCTTGCCTCCCTGATGTGCCTCCTTACTTCCTGGAAGGCCAGACCAGGCTCCATACAGATGGCCTCCACTGGGACCCTCCATGTAACTCGGCTACGTTAGAATCCTGTAAGCTCTTGAGCAGATCAGACTGTCCTCTCTGGATCAGGGAGATCACACAAATCAGTAGCTAGTGTTTAATGAGCACGCAGTCAGGACCATGGGTCATTCTGTGAGCACTTCCCATCTAGGTTTCCTTTATTGCTCCCGTAGCCACAGGGGATGGGTGATGCTGCACACCCTTTGATGAAGGGATGTGTGAGAGGGATGACAGCCTTGAGTCCCAGAGACTGAGTTCCTCCTTGCCTCTGCTTCTAGGCCAGAGTGAGCCTGTTGTGGAAGGTCAGTGCTGTTGTTTGGACAACAAGCACAGCTACCTTGAGAAGATGATTTGGAATACCTTTCCAGTGTAATGTTGGGCTGTCTGTCCTTGGCTGTCATGGCTCTCTGGGTTTCACCCGGGTCAGGGAAGTAACTGTGAGGCCCTCATGCTGTCTTACTCTGTGTCTTCCGTGTATGGTTTGGGGCCATTGAAAGGCTCTGGGTTCCATCCATAGCATCACAGAAATGGAGGACAGAACAGTTCGATCAGGTTAGCCGATCAGGTTAGCCGATGGTTGCTACCTCCTGTTCCTTGCTTTGGGTCTCTTGAGAAGTCGAGGCTGTATGGGAGGGAGCAGGTGGTGGTGGCAGAAAACGGCCTGTGCTCTGTGTCCGTTTTTAACTAGAGCTGCTTAGCGTTCACTGGTAGTCTGTCAGTTACATGGGAACTTTTTATTGGAAGCATGTATTTGAGGACCACAAACTGAAAAACTACTGCATCTAAGTGTTCTTATCCTAAAAACAGAGCCTTAAGAAAAATTATTGGCAGATGTAACAGTAAGAAAAAAGTCTCTGGAGAAAGACTCCATAATTAAGATTCAGAGGCAAGAGAAAGAATGTGCAACCTATTTGGCCTTTGTGAGATTAATGGTCAGTATATAAAGAGCTTTTGCAAACTAACAATAAAAGGATGGGCTTCCCTGTTACAAGATTAGGAAGGAATGCAAGTAGGCAGATCATAGCTAAGAAAAGACAGCCTAGCTAATAACCCAGTGTAGACGAGATTCCATCTGTGCCCTTTGTATTAGTTTGATAACAGCACCCGGGGCTGTGATAAGGATTCCTGTCCTGTATGGCTTCCTAGAGTATAACAAGTTCTATGTAACCATTGCTTAGACTGGGGCCTAGGCCCATCAGGTATTAAACATATTTGTTCTGTAAAGAGAACAATATATACTCTCATGCAAAATACTTAATTGTTCTCCAGGAAAGTATCAGAATGGCCATTCATTCAAGTGGCAGTTCTGTTATCTTAGAATTTATTCTAATGGAAGACTGTAATACCCACATTGACACCCACGTACATGCAGGGCATGGGACTCTGCCATTTACGGAAGTGCAGCTCCGTGAGTACCCTTGTTGCTGGGGGGGTGGGGGTGGGGACCTCCCTGTGCATGGCAGGCAGGCATTTGGCTCTGAGCAATTTGGCTCTGAGCAGCCTGTAGACTGGCCTTCTAGTTTTAAAGGAGTCTCCAAGGTGATACTGATGGCCATTGGGATATCAGGAAAATGGGGCTTAAGAGACTTTCATTGTTTATATGTGTTGGTGTTGGTTATATGTTTTTGCAGTATAAAAAAATTAAAATGATACTATAGTTGTATTAAAACAATTGGTATTGCTCATTTTTTTTTTTAAAGGAGAATAACCAGGTCCTTGGGAAGCTAATAGATACACTTAGCATTAGAAGAATCTGAGATTGTTGCTCTGAGTCACTCCTAAGCTCTCCAAGGTGGGGCTAGCCTCCTGGGTCTGCTCTGCTCTGGTACAGTCCATGTTGCAGGCTGTTCCTAATGGACCTCTGCGAAAGCAGACCTCTGCCCAGCTCTCCCTTCAGGAAATCCTGTCAAGGCTTCTCTGAGACCCCGAGAGCCTGCGGGTCCTAGCCTCTGGCTTCCTGGCCTTCACTCATGGTGTTTGCCTCATTGCCGAGCTTTCTCTGCCTGCTTTGCCTCCTCTCTTCTTCTTGAGCCTCTTTGGTCAGGGCCTTTGCACATACGCTCCTCTTGCCTGTCTTCCTCAGTCCTTCGCTTCAGTCTTCTGTTCAGCTTAGAGGCTTTCCTCCTCCTTCCTCACGTTCTCCACTTGTGCAATGTCAATAAGTTGTTGTGACATGAGTTGTTTAATGTCATCTCTTGCTGGCCGAAGACTTCAAGGAGTCAAAAGGCCAAGAATGCCTCATGTCTGCTTTGTGCCTGGTA